ATAACGTCCCATTTCTCTAACCTATGAATCGACAAACGCCAGCAGAGTAAAGGTTTCCAAGCTTGATTCGCACTTCAAATCTGAGCCTTGTCAGACATAACGAACTTATGACATGATATTGCTATGAATATCCTGGTACATAAAAACATGTTTGAGAATCTTTACTGTCCATTTCTCAAGTTGCATTTCATAGTTTGACCTCTTAATCCACCGACTATGACCAATAGCTGGTAGTCCATCTCCCATTCTCGCTCAACAAATGGGATCCTGTAGGCGGAGCGAGAGGAGGAGGCGGAGCTTACTCTGCTTTCCCCTTTCCCCTTTGGAGACAAACGGCACGGGCTTTGGTTTCTCCTGCACCACCTCCGCGACAATCACACCTTGGATAATGGTAGCAGTAAAGAAAACCGTACCTCGGCCTTACATTGATTTTCATAAGTGGTTCGATCGTCTAAAGTATATCATCTAAAGTATATCACGAGCTGGTTTTATATAAAATTTATCAATAGATAATATCTTCATATTCGAACTATACTTTTTTCTAACAAATTTCAAAATATCACAACAATGTAGACATTTAAAAAATTAAAGGAATTATCAAAAAAGGGTCAATTTCGCCGGTCATGCACACATGAAGGAATTTTTCGAGACCATTTTCCAGCTCCTATACATGTAAGCACATTTTCAGAATCTAGCTTATATTCATGTGATGGACAATAGTAAACTATTTTCTCGCCTACAAGATAGTAGTCCTTGGGTGGTGACGTTGATGCACCATGAGCTGGAGCGCCAGGAAAGCGGCAAAACGGATCGCCTAAAAATCGGCTGTATAACCGCAAAAAAATTTATGATAAGAACTACCTACATTTCGTAATATATTTCGTCCACTGTCCATTTGGCTGACATACGACAAAGTCGCCTCCTGTTAAAATATGATTTGGCAAACATCCAAACAGCATCACGTCACCGCGATGATATTGTTTCTTCGGTGGCGAAAGCAGAACAGCGTTCTTGGGTGGGCTGATTTTATCGCATTTTACAACTAAAATGAAGAAAATGAACATGAAAACAGGGAAAAAGAACAAGTAAAAGACAAAGAAACGCAAAACAAAAATAAACAAGAGAAATATACAAAAAATGAGAATAAATAAATAAAGGTACTAATGACAACTCTGCTTACTTGTGCAAAATGGGATCTTTTCACTCCATGTGCTATCACTTTGGCAGTGTATATGTTCAGCTCCTATCAATGTAAATCTAAAATACCTGGACATAAACAACGAAATTCTTCTAAAATCCAAAAAAAAACTTACCCTTTGGCACACTGGAATTGGGCAATACCACCGAATTTATACGACGATACGGTAACCATCATAGAACGGCTGTCAACTGCTAATGGAGGGCACTGTATCGCTGTAAATAGGTAAAGGTAGGTACTAAGTCACTGATCTGAGTAACGACATTCCACATGATTAGAACGTTGGACAAAAAAATTTTAAAAAATTCTTTTCAATATACACGAGCTATTATGAGGTTTATCCCTTCCTTTTCAACTTGCCAATCAAAAAATATAAGATGGAAAATACCATCATGCAATCTCACTCCGGTAAAAATATGTGATTAATGTAAGAAACTTACCATGACACTCCGGTGGTGAATGGCTCCATGTTCCATCGTCTTCACAGGTAGCTGTGGTATGCCCATGTGGTTTGTACCCTACAGGGCATGAAAACTGCGCCACTGTTCCAATGAACAAATTTCTTCTGGTCAAGTAGACCGAAAGATGCGACGAGTTTTGTTGCGGTGGACAAAAACGATCTAAAGAAGGGAGTTTCAAACGCTAACAATTACAAAAATCTCCGTACCTTCTACTCGAATTCGTATAGTGTTCCGCTTGCCACTGGGTAAGATGCAATGCAGCAGACCGCTGTCTTCAGGTTGAGCGATGGCAATTGTCAGCTGAACGGTTACTGATTTTAAAGAGAACTGTCATTTCAGAAAACTATCATTTCAGAAAGAACTGTTGTTGATGATTAGTTTTCTTCTTTCAAGAATGAAAAGTCAGCCAAGCATTTTTTTAACAAAAACATGAGAGAAAAGTGTTCATAAGTTTGATTTTTGAGCAAAAAACAGTGCAGAACTTTGAAAAACTCACTTGATTGGCATCCGCTTGTTCCACTCCTAAGGCATTGATTTTATGCCATACTTGTGGATAAGTCCGATATGTAGAGGAAAATTCCTATAAAAAAGTTGGGTAGGAGAGGGGAAAAAATAAACGCCTCACAACTTACCCATTTCGACTTTGCCGTTTTCTTCGGTGAAAGACAAGAAAAACTAACAGTTGCACTTCTAGCGACGATCAGTTCTCCAGACGGAGAATAGGCATGAGTACCATGTACCACATCAATCAGAATCGGTGGAGAGTCCTCTAAAACCTTATTTTGTGAAAA